GCACGCTCACCTCCTGGCTCCGCGTTCGGTTCGGCACCTGGAACTGGATCTGGCGGCGCTGCTGCCGCGCCGCCTCTGCCGCGGTCCTAGCGCCGCTCGGCTTCACGCTCCGCAAGCCCCCGGCTGTCGGCAGGAACCGCCGTCACCACCGGCATCCGCGAGGGAGGCCGGGCCCGGCCGCCGCCCACCCCCGGCTGCGCTGGCGCGCGGACGGCCGTTCCCTGGAGAAGCTGCCAGTGCACATGGGCTTGGTGGTCACCGAAGAGGAGCAGGAGCCCAGCTTCACGGACATCGCGAGCCTCGTGGTGTGGTGTATGGCCGTGGGCATCTCCTACATTAGCGTCTACGACCACCAAGGTGAGGTCCGGCGCGGGTAGGGGGACCCGGGCGGCTCCGACCGGGGGGTACCGCACATCCGGCAGGTGTATCCGCGGCGCACCGCAGCGCTCCCTGCTCTTCCAGTTGCCCCATCCCACGGCCCTTCAGGGCAAATTACGGTGCTAGCGCTTTCGAGGAAGGGAGATCAGCTTTATTGAACACAATCACCAACATCTGCGCTTCTCCACGTATTTGCCCTCCGCCCCAACCTTTTTTGTTGCTTGTGTTTTTTACTACACTGTTTCTTCAGAGAGATTCAAGGCACAGCTCTTAAATCATTGCTAGTCTGTGAAGGCGCATGAGCTGAGTGGTTGGGGGCAGGTAGCGTTTGAACTGGGCTTATAAAAAGTATGTGAGAGACTGGATAGGCAAAATGAAAATAGTCACGTGTGTCTTCAGAGGTCTGGGATAGTGTGCAATCGTTGATCCTTAGTGGCTAACACAGTACTTGATATAGTAATTGCCGTTTTTTAAGGTTTGATTGAGGGAATGCATTTAACCATGGGGAATTTTTTAAGTATGAGAATTCACCATTTATTGGGTGGCTACAAACCTTAAGCACTGTGCTAATAAACACGTTCCGTGTAATCTTACTTTTAACTCCATGGATTCTCAGGTTTAGGGGAGTAGGTACATAAGTAACTTGTTGGTGAATAGCAAGAAGTGTTGGGAGTAAGTAACCACGATGAGAATGGGGGAGAGAAATTCTGAATTGGAGGAATTTGAGAAGTTCATGCAGAGGAAATGGGCTTTCCTTTGGACTGAAATGATGACTAGGAGGTCAGGTTGAGGAAGGTTCTAAATGGCAGGTTTGGATTTCAGTCAGATCCTGAAAGTAGTGTCATTTCCTTTCCTTAGATATAAAGATGTGACGATAACAATGATTTAGGTGTATGGGTATGAAGGAAAGAAAACTAATGTTTTCTTCTCTGTTCAGTAACGTAAATTACTGGTATGCTCCACAGACGCTACGGTTTGATTTTTTTTTTTTCCTTTAAATCTTTGTCTCATAGGCAAGTGTAAGTGCAGGGTTTTGTCCGAAAGGGTACGTCAAGGTCAGACAGGAACTCTTGCAGGGTATTAGAGTAATCTTTGACTGACCTGTCACCTTCCGTACAGTCAGCAAGGAATATAGTGACTCAGTAGTCTGTCATTATCAACTGATGATATAACCTGTAGGGTAAAGTTTAATAGGGGCTGACATTTTATGGAACTTGCCAAAGAACTGAGCAGACCAATAGAAATACAGGACTGTTAGGAAGCAACCCAGTCTTTGCTTAAACCAATGCAACAGAAACACTGTGTGGGGAAAGAAACAAGTGAAGCAGAAATGGAAATCAGTCAAAGCCATTAAACAATAGGGTGAATTAACTTATAAGTGAATCCCTTATATACAGGTGATTCTTTTAAAGCAAGTACCTTTACGTTCTAGTACGAAATGCAGATGTATATAGCTAAATAGTTTAACTTGGTGACTGTGCCTGCAGATTGTAATATTGCAACACTTTCTTCTTCTGATAATTCCTGTTCTTGAATTGCTGATATGGTCCAGAAATATCTTGTGCCATATTTGCTAAAAGAAAAGTGATTGTTGATGAACAGGGAGAAGTCAAGCTAACCAGGTATTGACTGAAAACCTGAAGGAGTTTTAAGGTTATTTCCAGGGAATCGACATAGTGCACTTTGTGCCCAACTGTAAAAGCAGTTTTAATTATTTTTAAGGGGATAATTTCATTGTTTGAAATAAGAGACTTTTGACGTACCCATTCTTGGTGTTCATTCATTCATTCAACAGTGACAGTTGGCTGTCTCTTAACTATCAGGTATTCGTTTGGGCATGGGGTACAATAGTGCACAAAACAGACAAAAATCCCTGTGCTCATGGAACTTACACTTTAGTGGAAGCCTGACAAATATTATATAAGAGTAAAAGAGTGGTAAATTAGATCATAAGTGAAATGAGGAAAAATGAAACAGGGAATGGGAATGTTGAAAGGCAATGGTGGGGTGCAGCGTTAAGTAGGGTGGGCAAGGAAAGCCTCATTGACTTTTGAGTATTGACCTGAAAGAGGTAAGGAAATGACCTGTGGATATGTGAGAAAAGTTGTCCTTTTCAGGGGAGGTATAGCTACTTACGCTTTATTTAGTTTTCCCAAACAAACTTTCATTTAAACCCATTTCTTTATAAGTTAAAAAAAGTCCTATTGACATATTCACAAATGCCACATCTATTGAGTACCTTATGGTGTAAAGCACTGAGATACAAAGGGATACAAAAACTTGTGTTTCTTAGGAAAGTTAAAGTATCTCAAGGATATCTACTAAAAATTAATATAAGCCAATATATAGATGCTAAGGGAGTGGCAGAGACTTTATTTAAGGAAAGAAAAATCCCTGCAAAGCAGGGTCACCCCCATATGCCCCTGATAAGGAAGGAGGTGACACTTGAGCTAGGCTTTGCCAAAGTAGGTAGAATTTGGATTAGCATGAACAGCAGTGTTCTCTCTCCCTCCCTGCTCTGTATGTGACTAGGGAATTCCCTTTGGGTGGCATTCCTATCAGACAAGCCTTAACAACGGTGCTGAGGACTGTGGGGAGCAGTAAATATAAGCAAATTCTTATAAAGAAAACTTGAGAAATGAGGTAGGGTGAAGGTTTCCGTGACTGTTCCAGTTATTTACCCCGGGGCATAGTGTTTTAAAACAACAGCTTATATGTTGACTCAGTTCAGTTGGTCATTTCTTTTTGGGGGTTGGTCACTCATAAGGTTGTGGTCAGATAGTGGCCAGGACGTAAAAATTTCTTGTCATGAGTCTGATACCTGGTTTGTAATGGCTGGAATAGATGAGGGCAGGTTGGTCATCTGTCTTCACACAGTCTTTCTACCTGACAGGCTTAGGCTTCCTCATTAATAGTGGCCTCAAGGTAGTCAGATGGTAGAGCTGGCTTCTCCCAGAAAAAGTTCTCAAAGACCTAGCCAAAGGCCAAAGCTTACACGGTTTCTTTGACTTAGCTTAGGAAACCATGCAGTGTTACTTTTGCTGTACTCTCTTGGTTTGAGACATCACAGGTCTGGCCCAAATCAAGAAAATGGTGAAATAGACTTTACCTCTCATTGAGAAAATAGCTTATCCAGAAAGGTGCAAGGGAGACAAGTGTGGGAAGGATGGGGGTTAGGCAGGGGGATTGATGACAGGGATCTCGGAGACGAGCTACTGTACCTTCTTACATCTTTCCCTGTCCTGTACCCTGTCACTTAAAAATTTGAGTTTAAGTAAGTATTCATTCTAATTAATTATAATTGAATCTAGATTATATTTTATTCTTGGACTTAAAAAACCCCTTGATACTTACTTTGGTTTGACTGCCAGCAAACTGAACTTTTTATTTTCATTTACCTGCCATATTTCTTGATTGTAATAATTTCTGCCAGTAATTCTTTCACATATTAGAAATTGGAGTTGTTTTCTCAGGATTTCTTAAGCCCAGAATTCTAGTAAAGAGGTTCGCCTAATTTGTCTACATGATTATAATTGAAGAAATGACCATAATTGGGATGGCACAAAACCTGGAGTTCAGGGACTTTACCACCTTAGGGGCGTTGTGCTGGCCTGGATCTCACTTGAAGTATGCTGGGCTCCACATTATCTGGGTATGTATTATTCATCTTCAATGATGAAGCCTGTTCTTCGGCCCAGTTATATTGGTGCCATGTTGGGGACCTTGCTGTAGGGCAGTATTTTTCAAAATGTGGCCTGTGGACCATCTGAGAATGAGTTTTTGGGAATACTTGTAAAAACTACAGATTCAACACAATTACTGATCAGACTGAATTAGGGGAGTGGGACCTAAGCATCTCTTTTTACCCAACTGCCTATATACTGCCTTTGTGCCTTGAAGTTTGACCCTAACACAAATTGAGGGATACTCTGCTGCTTGCCTTGCCTCAAAGTATTCATTCTTCATGTTCCTTGTCATGAATGAGGAAATCTGGGTAGGGTTTTAGTATTGCTTGTTATAAATTGGAGTGATCTAGGATAAGGCATTGCCTTCCGTGTGAGGATCCAGCAACAAGCAAACAGAAATCTTTCACGATGCTCTTTCTAGTGTTACTTCCGTAGTTGTAAATGTGTACTAGGTGTCTTCTGAAATTGGTTTTGGGTACAGATTTCTCACACTGGCATTAAAAATGTCCAGTGTACTCACGGCTTCCCTAACCTACTTCTCACATTTTATATACCTTTTGCCTCATCCACATTTAGGTTACTTGATGTTCCCCTCCCCGGAATGGCTCTTCTCCTTTTCCTGACAAATGGCTGTCTACCTGTCAGAAGGCTGTCATTGATCCTTGTAAGTCTATCCTGTCACCTCTTATGTAGTCTCTCTTGACTATTCCATTCCTAATCTTGCTCTTTTCTTGAATCTCCTCAGAACTTTGCATCTTGAAAGGTATTTAGATTTTCTAAAATAGTAATCATGTATATGTGCCTCAATTTTCTTACTAGATTTAGGCTCCACAGATACTGTCCATCCTTCTCATCTTTGCTTCTCCTACAGCGTGTAGGTAGCTTGGTGTTCTCCGTGTAATTTGTTTCTGAGCACAAGTACCCAGGAACCTTAGAATAATGGAAGGAAATGAACATAGTTTCCCCTAGTTACATATTTGGCACACTGACGGAGATGCTGTTGGGAATCATGGTCTTACTAAATACTTCTTGTTCTCCTTATGTTGAAATACAGAGTTGGAAGGAGGGTTGAAAATCCACTTGTACTGTGATTACATGTTGACACAATGAGCAGTACAAACTAGGCTACTTGTCTTCCCTCATGTGGAAACTCATGGAAGGCGACATCTGTTCCTAATCTTCACCTTTGTGTAGTTCACATCTTGTACATAATTTCATATATATCCTAGCATCCTGGAACGTTGTCTTCATTTTGTGCCAGAGAGTTAGCTACCTGTCAAAAGGCTATCATCA